GCCTTTGTAAGCACAAGATCACTTTTTCTATCCAAGTCAGCAAATGGTCTGGTAGCACTTTATAGACTAACAAAATGTGTAGATGGAATCATGAGCTTTCATGGGCACAGCCCACTTCTTCAGATGACTGGAGTTCAGATTAGAGGACAAGGAAACTCGAAATAGCCAAATTTGTCCTACCTCCTTCCCCACCCCTTCTTCAAGGCCCTGCCTTGCTCATCTGTGGATACTGGGTACAAATGTGGAGGGAAGATGACATCCTGGCATCAGTTCTCCCCTCTTCTGCTTCCCTGCACAGCCAGCAGGAGCTAAGGGGGAGGGCAGGAGCAGAATGGCAGTGGGGAGAGGGGCAACTGAAGTGCTGCACTTGGTAGTCTCTTGGCCAAACCAGTAAGATCACCGCCATACGCGCCAAGATCTACCAATAGATCCTGATCTACTGGTTGGTGACCCCTGGGTTAGGGAAATTGCTGCGTTTGCAGAAACTGGGGTGGTGGCAGTTAATGAAGCACCTTGCTGGACCGCCTCATTTTTAAATGGGAAAGTGTAGCCCACCTCAGATACATTGCTCAGAATCAGTACTCTGACCTTCTTCTGAATAGCCTGCCAGTCCTGTTTTCTGCTGTGCCTCTCTCTCCCCTGCCTCCTGCAGAGACCATGCTGAGGGGAACTGGCTTTTAAGCTGGCTTCCACCAGCTGCTGTTCCTTCCCCCTCATCTTTCTGCCTCTCTCTGATAGAGAGATCAAGGGAGTGAGGGAAGCAACTAGTTGCATCACTGGTTAATAATCCTATAAGCTTCTGCTTATCTGATTATTGACTAGTCTCTTACATCCCTAATATGAATGGGTCTCCTCTCCAAAAACTAGACATTCTTTGAATTTGCTTTTTGTTAATTTCTCTCTCTATTGACAGATATAAGTATAAAAATGTTCCTGGGGATGACAGAGTGGTTGTCAGCATGTCACTCTGCATCTCTCTCCCCTACTTCCTCCCGGCCCCGGTTCCCCCTCTGGCAGCTCCTTAGGGTGCACTTTGAGCTCCCTGCTGGCCCTTGGCTCCACTGCAGGAGGGTCAGGAAGCAGCAGAGGTGGCAGCCACCCCTGGCCCCACTTATATTTTTGGGTCCGGGGCCTCGAGGCAAACCACTGCTGGCTTCTTCCTTGGGCCAGGAGCTTGAGCCGCCACCTCCCTCATCTGCCTAGTGCTCCAGTGTCATTCTCCCCCTTTCCCTTCCAGTGCAAAATTAGAGCCTCAGCACAGCTGGCTGCCTGCAGGAGGAAAGGGGAGGAGAATGCACTGAAGGTTGGGGTTAAGCCTTGGGGTGTTCTTCCCTCCCCAGAAAGCAGGCACTAGTGCTCTAATCTTGTGAGAGCTTGAGCCGCCACCTCCCTCATCTGCCTAGTGCTCCAGTGTCATTCTCCCCCTTTCCCTTCCAGTGCAAAATTAGAGCCTCAGCACAGCTGGCTGCCTGCAGGAGGAAAGGGGAGGAGAATGCACTGAAGGTTGGGGTTAAGCCTTGGGGTGTTCTTCCCTCCCCAGAAAGCAGGCACTAGTGCTCTAATCTTGTGAGAGGGCCCATGAAGCTGGAGCACCAGATGGGTGTCAGCCCGAGGGAAGTGGCAGG